AGTATGTTTAAATATCAACCCGGGTCGGTCCGTCTACCACAACTTCAGCCATTTAAATCATTATCTAGCAATCAAAGTTTTGGTTTAAAAGTTTGCTAATTAAAATAAACTAAGGCAAAGGTGATTGGTTTTTGAAAAATCTTTGTGGGAAGATCACTCGGGTGTCGCTTCCCCCTAACTCCTACCATGGTACGTGAACCGGAATGATCGCTTTGGGCGAGGCAAACACTAACCACTAAGGGACGCAAATGTGATCATAGACCATGCTCTAGATTGCTAAACCGAGGCTTGCATTATAGGCTGTCACTAGGCCCTCTCGGTTTAGGCAATCAAAGGTTGACTTACTCCCTCACTCAACCCAAGGGTTGGACGGTTAATTGCACTTTACTACCAAATTGCTTAATAAGGTTTGCCCTAAATTAACCTAGTTAGCAGGCTTAAAAAGACCTAGGGATACCAACTCAGTCGAGACTCCCTTAGAAGGGGAGGTTTCCCTCTCTAAACTAGGTTAAGTGGCTAATTGGATTGTTAAGCATAGACATGCACATTCCTTAGGTTGCTAAGCACTAAACATGCACAAGCCTAAGGATGCTAAGCATAAACATGCACAATCAAGATGAAAAATACCTCAATCATTTAAACAATTCCCAATGACAATCATTCAAATTCACATAAAGGAAACTACATGGTAGAGTTAGTGTTTCACAACACCCAAGTGAAAGGAACTCTACTCCATGCTAGAAATAGGGAAAACACAAGGAGAAAGGGGAAAAACCATCTTGGAGATGCTCCCACTCTTCTTGATCCTTGTACTGAAATTTCCTTGGAGAAAATCTTCCCAAAATCCACCTTGAAGCAAAACCCTAGCCTTCTTCTCCCTTGGTTCGTGTTTCTCTCTCTAGAATGCAGAAGAAGTTTTTTCACAGAAAGTGGGCTCTCCCCTCTCTCCTCATTTCAGCTCATCTTTTAAACTAGAGACGAGCTCAGTTCACAGCCCGAGTTCACGGCCGTGAACCATCAAACGCGTCCATGAACTTCAGGCGTGCGCCAAAACACGCCGCTTCATTCACTCCCGTTTACGGCCAGCAACCTTCGTTCACGGTCTTACTGACCGTGAACACAACATGCGTCGGTAACTTCTGGAAATGCTCTGGACGCCATGCACTTCACGATCAGTAGCTCATCTTCACGGTCAAGCAAGACCGTGAACTTCCTTGGTTAGTCGTGAACTGGCCCTTTTTCACCTCTTCTCCCGGTTTTCGATCCTTTCCGTTCAACTTTCGACACCGAGGATGGTTTTACCTGTTAAATCCTGAAACATGCTAAAACACGAGAAACCTAGCGTAAAACCAACCTTTTAGGAGCGAATTTGCCACAAACATATCTAAGTAAAACGGGGGTAAAACATGTACAATTAGGCCCGAATTAGAGTGCCACTCACTGAGTTGCTGACGGGTCCCACCATGAGGATGCAGTGCCTCTTTTGTCTACCAAAAAAGTACAATTTTAACCCCCTAAAAACCCCTTTGCCTTTTTACCCCAATCAATTCTCTTCAACCATTGGGAAAGAGGGTTACTATTTGCCGCCCGTCCCTTTACTATTTGCCGCCCGTAAATTAAACTAAAATGACATTTTTACCCTTTGTTCATTTTTTATAAAACAAACCCCGCCACTCCTGCTGTCACCGGCGCCAGTCCACCACCGCCGTCAAATCGCCGACGTCGCCACCACCGCCAGATCACCACTGCGGCCAGAACCAAATCATCACAGCCGGCGGGAGGACCCCGTCCGACGCCGGCGAGCGGACCGTGCATTTATAAAAAATAAAATTAAATTATAAAAAATATTGTACAAACTAATTCATACTTATTTTATAATTATGTAAATAGAGCTAAAATAAATTAATTCAGTATAATACCAATTAAATAATTATAGTATGTTAAATAATTACAAATTATCTGAAGTAGTGTATAAATTATGTTTTAATAAATTATGTTTTTAATTGTATTTATTTCATAATTAATAAGATCAACGTACCTAAATTATGTTTTATAAAACTTCCAAGGAATCGAGGCACGAAGAGGACTCTTTGCGGCTTGGGGAAGGTCGGGCAAAAACATCTTTTAGCATTTACTAGAGTCACCGACATGAAAAAATATTGAAACTTTCATCGATCTCTTAAAATGTGGATACAAATGTGTTGGAATCGATTATTTCAACTGTGGTTAACCCTAATTAAGTCAAACCCTAATTCGGATCATACCCTAATTAAGTCAAACCCTAATTCCCTCAAACAAAGTGGTCAAAATAATATATAATTTAAGCAAACCGTAATTCGGGTAAAACCCTAATTAAGTCAAACCCTAATTATGTCAAACCTTAATTCGGGTCAAACTCTATATAAATCAAACATTAATTCAGGTCAAACCCTATAGAAGTCAAACCCTAATTTGGATCAAACCCTAATTAAGTCAAACCCTAATTCCCTCAAACAACTGTGGTCAAAATAATATATAATATAGTCAAACCCTAATTCAAGTCAAACCCTAATTATGTCAAACCTTAATTCGGGTCAAACCCTAATTAAATCAGACCTTAATTCGGGTCATACCCTAATTCGGGTCAAACCCTTATTAAGTCAAACCCTAATTCCCTCCATCAACTACCATAAGTGGATTGAGTTGTTAACTTATTTGGATTGGGATGTTAATATATTAATAAATGATAATCATTAGATGTATTATATAATCAAAATAATATATTGTTAATTACGGAAATTTTCTTCCGAAAACTTATTACTCAATTTTCTCTTTCGAAAACTTGCCTTAAAAAATTCTCTTCACTTTGCTTAATTATCATACTTATAATTATTTAAATCCTAATTATGGTATTTTACACTTATTTAATTACTAAATAAATAAATTATAATAATTCAAACACGATTTTTGAAAAAAAAAACAGTAACCGACGGTTTTCGGAACCGGTCCGCCGATGGATTTCGGACCCCGTCCGCTTCCGGCGGTCGGACCCCGTCCCCTTCCTCTACGTCGGCGACGACAGGACCCGTGGCGAGCTCCTTCCTCTTCAACGTCCGCGATTTTGTGAGGGGAGGTTGTGGAGGGGTCGGCGGACCAGGTCGGAGGAATGGAGGTGTTGGTGGTGGGAGCAGTAGAGGGGTCGGCGGTGGGAGCAGCGGTCGCCGCCGTCGGCAGTTTGTGCGAGGAGGTTGTGAGGGATGAGTTTGATAGGATTTAGGGTTAGTTAGAAGGAGGGACAAATTCGTCATATTTTTTGTAACTACGGGCGGCAAATAGTAAAGGGACGGGCGGCAAATAGCGATTCAGTTGGGAAAAATGGGGTAAAAGGGCAAAAATGGAATTTTGGACAACCTAAATGGGTTCGTTTGGATGGGAGACTGTGGCAGGATTGTGGTTGAGGATTTTAAAACAATCCCACATAATAAGTGATTTTAACCAAATAACACGTTTGCAAAGAGCAGGAATTGTGGCTATTAGAGATTTTAAAAATCCACATATGTAATGTGAGATTTCAAAATAGCTGATGGGGATCAGCTATTTCGAAATCCCTCATTATTATTTTTTTACTTCCAGCCACTGCCCCTCTACCCCACTTCTTCCATCGTCATATCACCACACCGCCATTCTTTCGCATATGATCAGACTCTCTCCTCCGGCTGCAGCTCTCTGACCACGGAGCATTGAGTTCCGCACTTCGACCTCTTCGACCAGCCCCAAGCTACAACCCGCAACACCACTGACAACAGCTTTGTCTCTGCGCTTAACCTTCCCCGTCATCGATAAACTCCAATCCCCACCCATTGACGGACAGAGGAAAGAATCCGGCAAACCCAACAAGCGACCTCCCTCCGTTGTTGCGATCCGCCTTCCCCTGCCATCGACCAATTCCAAGCTCTCGTTGCAATTGACAAACTTAGCAATATAACCCTAATCCCCAAAATTAGGCCTGATTGAAGAAGTCGCCGATTGGGTTTTAGGTTTTTTTCGTCATCTTCCGTCCCTCCCTCTCACTTCGCCGACCGAATCTTCAATGTCGTGTACAGTGGGAAATTGGGTTGTTCATCTGGCGCGGGGAAGCTTTCTATCTGTTGGCTCTTCTCGTCGTCGCCGTTCAAGTTTCCCCAACCGCCAACAAAGCTGAATCCGCCACCTCCGACAACAGATCCTTCGCGGAGAAGCTCTATATCGATCAGGTCCTCATATTCCCGTCGTCGTCCAAGTTTCCCCAGCCACATGGACGAATCTGGCCAGAACAGAGATGACAAAGAGCAGATGGACGACCGAGAAAGCAGAGGTTGCAGGTCCTCTACGTTGATGGAATGGATTTTTTAGGCGAAAGAAAATGGGGAAGAATATTGCACGAAGATCATTAAAAAAGGGCAATCTTGACATTTGAACATATCAATTATCAATTTCCAAACAAGGGTCTTGTGTCAACTGTCAAATCCTACATATTAAAAATCTGGATTTTTAAATGAGTAATTTAGACACAAATCCTTCTCAAATCTCTCAAATTAAAAACCTGCATTTAAACCACCTTAATAGTTTTTTCCATGGTCGGTATGCAAGAATTTCTCTAAGAAAAGGCTAGGCCGTAGCGTAGGACGACTAGCACGACTAGTAGTAGATATATAGATAGATAGAGTCCTAAGCGCTAGGGTTTCGTCTGGTATTCGCCGTGGCCGCTATATCCCTCAGCACCTTTTATTTCTCTGGATTTATGATGAGTGCACGTTTTATGACCGTCTGGGTCATTAAACTAATTTCGATTATTATTATTATTATTATTATTGTTTATTTGGATATTTTTTTGGTTATTTTGTGTTATTATTATTTCTTGATAAGGAAGTCATCAGTTAGGAGTTGGTTTAGGATTAGATTTCCTTGTTTGAGAGGGAAAGGGTTATGGGACTTGTCCTATAAATATGTACTTTACCTTTACGTTTTATTCACCAGAAAATAATAAACCAGTTCTTTTAGTTTTTCTTTGTTTCTCGCTTGCTAGATCCCGAAGCTTGAAACGCGTCACTTTAGCTGTTTCTGGTTTTTGGTTCTGGGGCGACGCACCAATTAGGGTTCCGGGGGCGCGTGATCGCGGGATTTCAATGTCTACGGAAAGGAAGAGGAACGCGAGATTGTTTGATGTGGACCGGTCATCGGTCTCTTCTGAGGGGTATTCGCTGGATGGAAAGCTGGATTCGCAGAGGCATTCGGACATACTCCAGAAGAGGGAAACTCTTCCAGTTAGGAAGCAGAAGAATGAGTTTTTGGATGTCTTGAAGAAGAACCAGGTTATCATCCTTGTGGGCCAGACTGGAAGTGGCAAAACTACCCAGGTATGTGGGTCGTTTTCATTGCACGTTCTTAATTTGTTGCGATTTGTGTTCGGTTGGGGAATAAAAAAGTGGGTCTCAGTGAATTTTTGAGCTTGATGAGTTTCTAACTCAGCGATTTTGTGTATAGGGTTGGTCTGACTAAATTCTGAAGTCTTGAAAAGCAAGAGGTGGAATCCCATGGGTAATGAGAATTGCTGATTTGCAGATTCCGCAGTTTGTTTTGGAAGCTTTTGAGGTGGAAACTTCCGTTAAGAGGCCCAAGATGATGGTTGCTTGCACTCAGCCTTGTCCAGTGGCTGCAGTGTCTGCTTCGCAACGTGTTGCTGAAGAGATGAATGTCATCGTTGGTGAAGAAGTTGGTTATAGCATCTGTTTCGAAGACAATATTAGTGATAAGACAGTTTTGAAGTAAGTGGCTTCTGCTTCTTGTCTTCATCTTTATCTTTGTATACACTTTTGTATATTAACACAACCGCTGTTTTAATCTTTGTTCCAGGTATTTAACGGATGGTATGCTCTTAAGAGAAGCCATGGCCAAACCACTATTAGAAATGTACAGAGTAATAATCATTGATGAAGCTCATGAGAGAACTTTAGCAACAAGCGTGCTCTTTGGATATCTCAAACTAGTGTTGGGAATGCGTCCAGATCTTAAATTGGTGGTCATGAGTGCTACTGTAGAAGCTAAGTTACAAGACTATTTTGATGGGGCACCTCTAATGAAAATTTATTGTGTGCAACACCCTGTGGATATATTCTACACAATGAAGCCTGAAAGTGACTTCCTTGGAGCTACAATTCGATCTGTTGTCGAAATACACCAACGGGAAGAGCCTGGAGATATACTAGCGTTTTTAACACGTCAGGAAGAGATAGAAGAGGCTTGCCACAGAATTTCTGAAGAGATTGGTAAATTAGGAAACAAGGTGGGACCTGTGGAAATCGTGTATTTGCACTCAACTCTTCCTCCAGACATGCAGCAGAAGATATTTGAGCCTGCTCCACCTCCTTTAGTTGAGGATGGTCCACCTGGGAGGAAAATCGTGGTCTCAACAATCACTGCTGAAACATCTCTTAGTATAGACAGGATTGCTTATGTGATTGATCCCGGTGTTGTCGAACAAAAATTTTATGACTCACGGGTTGGAGTCGAGTTCCTTATGGTTTCTCCAGTTTCCAGGGATAGGGCTGATATGAGAGCCTCTCTTGCTGGTAGGACAGTGCCAGGGAAATGCTTTAGGCTTTATACTGAGAGGAGTTACAATCAGGATCGTCACGGGCAGACTGATCCCGAGATATTGAGGTCGAATTTAGGGAGTATTGTCCTGATATTGAAGAAGCTGGAAGTTCCTGATCTACGTCATTTCATGAACCTACCTGCAGAAGAGGCGTTGACGAGGGCTTTGAAAGAGTTGTCAGATTTGGGAGCATTAGATGATAAGGGGAACTTGACGGAGTTGGGGAATATGATGAGTAAGTTTCCGCTTGATCCTCAGATGGCGAAGATGCTGGTTGTTAGTCCAGGCTTTAATTGCTCGAATGAGATCCTCTCTATTTGTGCTATGCTATCAGGTATGTCCCCAGTTTTCTCATTTTGTACTAAATAGATTTTTTTGTTGTGTTGAGTCCCGTCTGAATTGTGGTAGCACATGGTAGGGTTTGAAGTTCCATTCGATATGCCTTGTGCACACTGTGAGTTCAGGGTGGGAAATTGGTTTGGAATCGGTATTACCCACGTAATAGGAATTTGTGGATATCAAATTATACCCCGTTTTCAGTACTATTCTATTTTGGTATTACCGAACTGCTTACCCAAAAGTGTTTCGCTTCTGTATATCTTAAATACCTTAGTTTCCTTAACTTTAGCTACATGTTTGGCCAAAAACAACTGAAAAATCTTATTTTGACTGAAGTTCTCGGACGATTTTATGGTGAAGATAAACGTTTTGAGAAATGAAGCTGCAAAAATTGATGTTCTCCTAGAGTTTTCTGTCAAATTAAATAATAAAGTGACAAAATGCTGTCTGTTTCAATAGTACTGAATTACCTAAAAGCAAAATTATTAAAACATACCCATCTCATATGGCTTATATGTGGAATACCAAATTACCAATTCGGAAGTTCCATCCTAATTGAGTCGGCTACCCTTCAGGCTCTTCAATTTCATGCATGTGTACTACCACAAGCATGCAGGTGAAGACAATATGTGTCTAATTAGGTTGTGTTGTCAACAACTCTTGTATTGGTCCCATGTCGCCTATTGTTGGCATGCACCATATAGGATTGCTAAGTAAGTCTTGATGCAGATAGTTTGCAGTTTTCTCCAGAATTCTCATTATAAAGCAATGTGTCTGCTGACCAACTGTGTGCTTCCTGTGATAACCCAAATTTCTTTTTCTAGTACCCAATTGCTTTCGAGAAGGCTTTGATAAAGTCAAAGCTAGGTTCGTTGACACTGATGGTGATTACCTGACTCTGTTGAACGTCTACAATGAGTTCAAGCGCAACAGTTAGTACTTGGATTTCCTGGTTTACTCTCAGTTCTACTACTTACACTTGCTCAGTTTATCAATCACCAGTTCGTTCTTTTTATTTTTCTTCTGTCGGTTATTGCAGAAGAGGATTTATCTTGGTGTGATACAAATTTCATCAACTATAGTGTGCTTAAATCTGCACAAAATGTGAGGCAGCATCTTGTACAGTGCATGTCAAGGTGTGGAATCGAGATGTGCCGCACCTATTTATACGGCCCGGAATACTATGACAACATAAGTAAGGCAATACTAGCAGGGTATTTTATGCAAGTTGCTCATCTGGAGTGCACTGGAGACTACTTGACTGTCAAGGGTAACCAAGTATGTTAGCTGCTTTCAATCTTTGGCTGCATGAGATCGAGTTTCTGCATACCGAAGTATTCAAAATGGGTTTTTTTTTCTTTTGGCAGTACGTGCACTTACATCCATCAAATTTTCTGGGTGGCAAGCCAGAATGGGTGGTGTACAATGAAATTGTGTCGACTAGCATGAACTTCATTCGTACAGCGATGGATGTTCGTGGTGAATGGTATGTTCCCTCCCTCCTTATAATGTGTTGAGTTATATGTACTTGTGGTTTTGCAAACTAGTTAAATCATGCTTGGATTTCAATTTTGTTGTGTTTAACAGGCTGGTAGACATAGCTCCTCCTCGTTACTATTTGAAGAACTTCCCCAATTCTGAAGCAAAGCAGATTCTCGAGCTTTTGGAGAAGTGGAAGGAGGAGCAAAGGAAGTGGGAGAGGGAGGAGAGCAAGAACAAAAGATATGTTCCCAGGAAGCGGGGGGAGGAAGTAGGCTCCCGAGAAGTGCACAGGAAGCAGGAGAGGGAGGAGAGCAGGAACAAAAGATATGTTCTCTCCTCGAACTGCGCTTGGAAGCGGGAGGAGGAAGTAGGCTCCCGAGAAGTGCACAGGAAGCGGGAGAGGGAGGACAGAGAGAGGCAGTGGGAGGAGCGCGAGCGCAAGCGCAAGTGCGCAACAAGAAAACAATAAGACTTGTTATAAACAGACCCCTAAAATACTAGAAACACCAAACAAGGAAATCGAAGCTACCAAAATAGGTATAACCCTCTCCAAATATAAACTTCCCCCTCTTTGCAACCTAAGAAGAAACCATGGATCGGAACACTCACACCAAATTCTGGAGACTCATAACTCGACCAATATCACCATACTTGTACTTATTTTCCTCCTAACTATAAGCTACATAGCCTACATATATTTTCATTCAAGTTATACCTTTCTTTCAGTTAAGTATACTAACGTATTGGTCATGTATATTATTACTGCATTTACTAATCTATTAGTACCTATATAACTACATGTTTCAGCAATCATCTCGTTTAAACTTCCTTTATGTTACTTTTTTTACCTAGCATGTAGTTGGTGTGAGATTGTACGTGGGCACCGGGCCGTGCCGCCCACGGGCTAGCACGGCACGGCACGGTTAGAGCACGGCACGAGCACGAGCACGAAATAAATGGGCCAGCCCGGCACGAGCACGAATAATTTATGGGCCGTGCCGGGCCTAAACTTCATGGGCACGGGCACGAGCACGGGCACGGCACGGTATATAAGTGGGCCGTGTCGGGCCTAATATTTTCAAGACTTTATTGAGTATAAGAACGGACATGGCACGAAAATAATATTTATTTGATAGAAAATAAGTATAAAAAGAATTATAGGTTCAAATATTACAAAACACAAGTAGAAAAATAATTATTTGTTGTTGTTAGAAGTGTCATACAGATATATATGTAATTACTAACATAAGTAAAAATGGACAAAGAATTAAACAAAGCCAAATCATACTCGCTATACTTTTAATTTTCTTTTCCCCCCTATTTGTTACTTTTCTCAAACATTATCGGTTTATACTATCTTCCCCCGTCCAATTTTCACCTTCTTTTTCATTCTCTCCTTTGTTTTCGTCCTTTTCATTAAACACGAATACGAGCATGGCACGAGCACGAATAGGCACGGCACGATTCGAACCGTGCCCGGGCCTGGGCCGGGCCTAGCAAAGTTGACAAATGGGCTTGCATGGCACGGCACGAAAACTGACGGGCCGTGCCAAGCACGGCACGAAATAAATGGGCCCGAAGCGTGCCCGTGCCGTGCCGGCCCAAGCACGGCCCAGCGCCCATGTACATGTGAGATTATCATCTACATAGATATGCGAAATACAGCTAAAACAATTAATAAAAAATGAAACAGGAAGCAAAGTAATTGAGCCACAACCCACGCCATAGATTCCAGATTCTCAAATTCACATCTTTTAAACAAAAGTCACAACAATAAACCTTCTTTCCTAATCCAACAGATCACAAGCAGTAGAGTAAACAAAAAACCTAAAACTAGCTTCAAGCTCGAGAAAGAGGGAGAATCTCACCTAATCGGCCAAATAACCCAAAAATAAGTCAGTATCTACCAAGCCCACAAACGAATCAAGTAAATACAAATAATCACCGAAACTTGCCCAATCCTCTCGTCAGTCGGAGTAACCCCTGCTGTCAGCGACGCTAGAAGTTCAGCAGTCTCCGTTTTTTCTCTCCTCGATAAAAAACAGAGTCCTATTAAAACCCAGATCCAAAAAACTACAATCATAATTTATTAAGAAGGCAAACCAAAATAAAAAAAATCTCACCGCTTTGGGCCGCCTCCGTCGCGTCAGTCGCCGGTGGTACGCCAATCCTCGCCGCCAGCGACTTGAGTCACTTTTCCCATCCGTCAAAACCCAGAAATCAAAATATGAGATTATCATAACTGTAAACAACCCGATTGAACCTCAAATCGTGACATGCAATTACCTTCGACGCCGCCTCAGCGTCGTCGCCGACATCGATTGCCTTTACTTCTCGTCGTCGTCTGTCCATTCTTCCTTCCTCCTCGTTGTTGGCCAGGAAAGGAGAGGATGACAAGACAGATCGTGACGGGAAACAGACCGAGAAATTAGAGGGGAAATGGAAGGGTTTGGTTCTTTCTTTTTTACTTTGCTCGATCGAGAGGAGAGCAGAAGGGAAGAGGGATCGAATTGAAGAGAATGGATGCGATTGAAGAGCTAGATATTTTTATTGTTCTTTTCCTTTTTGTTTGCTGGTTTGTGTTTCTGGAGAAGAGAGGAAGAGACGAGAAGAAGCCAGAAGGAGAGAAGAGGGTAGAGGATGAAATGAATTAGGGTTTCGATTTTGCCTGAAAGAGAGAGTTATATTTCTCTCAGGGCTAAAATACCAAACTACCCTCGTGATTTTCGATTAATTACCCGCTGCCACTCTGAGGTTGCCTCCGCGAAAGACTAATTCAAGTGTCAAGTATGATGATATGGTCGTGGTCTATGGTTCGAGACTACACAGGGGAAATATTTCGCGGAGGCTTAATACGCTAAATTAACGCCCGCTAATCGTGTTAAGATCTTTGGTTTGACCAAGTTACGATTACTTCTAAATATTTCACACTGTGAAGAATACACTCGTTCGGGCTTCATTTCTTACACATACTTGTTTTGTTTTCTAGAAATTCTCTTAATACGAAATCTCGGTCAATAGATCGTGATAATCGTTCTCGACCAAATTCTTTCAAATATAATCTTTCAATAATTTAATTGAAATATCGTAGTATATCTTCAAGTTCTAATACCACACCGTAACTCAAATAATTAGAATGTGCTAAATATCATAAACCTCTTCTTTTTTTTCCCCTAAAAGATGTCTTAATACAAAATCACGGCCAATAGACTGTGATAATTTATTAAGCAAAATTATTTTAAAAATTATAAGCTACTCAATTACAAGATAAAAAAATCAAAACATTTTCCTTCATCAAAAGGTCTATAACAAAACTTAAACACGAGTCAATAGAGCGTGTTTAGTTACTTTCTACAAAACAAATCATTTTAAACGAACTACGTGGACTTTGATCCCGACTAAGTCGGGTACGTAGGCAACCAAAAGGTTCGAGTCCAACCAATCTAAAAAACATTTTTACGTCAATAGATGTGAAAATCTGTAACTTTAAATTCAAAATTTACGCTAATCGGACTCTAAAATACACCCAAAGTAATTAAAAATAATCCAATGTTACGGTTAAATGCATAAGCAAGCCAAGTAATAATAATACACCCGACCTCTAAAAACTTATCGGTTTAAGTAGTACCAATTTTTGGGCGTTGTGGGGTGTGAATACACTTCTCCACACGTAACCGTACTCCCGAACCCAAATCTCTAAAAATTTTGCAGACCAAATCCCGGTTCTGACCCTAAGGTTGGAACCGCTCGAACCGGGACCAAAGGTGTTCGATCCACCACAAATAAGGTCGATGGCGACTCCGAGCATATCACGACGGGTCCCCCGATCTCGGAGGGGCAGTTGCGACAGAGGAGTTTCTAGATCATATAGCAGCTTACGAGGTCAACTGGTCTTCTAAGACGTTCCCTGTCTCTCTCAATGCGAGTACTAGACTCAAGCCAGGATCATGAGAAGAAGTAGAAGTAAGACAGTCAGTTCATGGTAAAAGAACTCATATCATTCACAACCAAGGACTCGTTGTACCGGGGAGCTCTTTTCACTTCATTTCACCGCTGGAACCCCCTTTTCACTTTCACTTTATTTCTTTTTCTCTTTTTTTATTTTTTTCATTCTCTTAGCGGGGGTTCCAACTGCAGTCTTTTGCACGGTCGACCCTTATTAGTCGAGCAAGAACAATTTCTGTACATCTGGCGCTCGCCAGAGTACTTCTTTTAACTCCTTTTCCTCAACTCGTGTGGAGGGTCAATGAAATTAAGGGGGGTCGGAAGCTCTATCCGTGCCCTTAAAAACACATCCTCAAGTAGGCAAACCGTTCAACGGGTGGATGTTTTACTTGTACTAGAGACAGCTTAGCTTCACCTTGTAGGAGTACCCCAATAAGGATCACTAAAATCTCCTCCAAAACCCGATTTTGTGCAATGAACGGTGCCGCACACGTTGGGCTTACCCCATGTTTAAGATTTAATGATTTCTACATGGAGGACCAACTGCTTTTCATTTTCCACATGAGCACCCTGTTTGATACACGAGTCCATAACACAATCCAAATAGAGTCACCATTACCACATGAATTCAACGGTCTTAGCTCCACTAATTCACAAAATCAACTGGCACAACAGAGAGCTAGATAGGAAAAATCTTATACTTCAACATCCTCCATAGTGCTACACTAGCTCCCTAGGTTGCATATTACTATAGAGACTGTCAATTCAAAGCATACTGAGCAGGCAATTTTCAAGGAAACACGTACTTGGAGCCCTCAAATTTAAAAATTTGGACAGTGGACTAGGCTCCAAGCACACAAACAGATCTAATGCAGTCAAAAGAGAAACATCCCCCCACACTTAAGATCGACATTGCCCTCAATGGAGAAGAGGGAAGGATAAGGGGAACAATGTTACCGGTGTGCACGGACTGCATGAAACTGGAAAGGGACCAGTCTGAGTGAAGCGGACTGGAGAAGGGACCAGTCAGGGACAAAGCACAGCTAAAGGGAACAAAAGAACTCAAACACAATACGTAGGTCCAATGGTCAGCCCAATAGTACATCATCCAAAATCAAAAGAAAGAAAAGAAAATAAACCAAAACACAAGACAGTTTGCATTCTGACAGAAATGAAAACAACACAAAACAGGACCACGAGTACAGCCTACTCGAGCCCGGTGAAGTCGATCTGGTCCATGAGATCGTCGACCCCATCATGCAGTGGTGGTGGTGGCGGTGACGAGTGATCCCACCGGGTGGTCCAGTGGTGCTCCTCTGGTGGGTGACAAGACTGGAGTAGGTTCTCCGAGTACTCCATCAACCGGCGGCCACGATCCCGCTCCCGCTCGATGAGAGACCCATTGACTCCCATCTGGGCCGACATCCGGTCGAGGCGCTCGTCGACTACCGTCAACCTGGACTGGTACTCGGCCTAGTGGGCCGAATACTACTGGTAGAACTGGAACGGATGGTCCATGAGCTGCTGGTTCTCAAGCCCGACCTGCTGGAAATGGAGCCTCGTCTGCTGGAACTGCTCCGTGAAGAAGTCCATCGATGGGCCAGAAGCCATCGATGTACTAGAAGGACCGGAGGAGGACTCGCCTCTCTCTGATCTCCGTCGTGGCCGAAGGTCCCCTGGTGGAGAGAGTGGGGGCTCCGGCTCATCAGCATCCATGGCCCCGCCATCATCATCATCCTCCTCCTCGCCGGTGTAGTCATCATCCTCCTCGTCCTCATCGAGGTCCGCATCCTCCTCAGGGGGCATGGAGAGCCCATCCACCCAGGAGCGAGTGCCATCAGTGGCCAGGAGGAGTGCATTGTGGAGCACGTCCCGGCTGAGGGGGGTGGAGCCACCCCGTACAGTAGAATCTGTGAGTCCATCGAAGCTGATGTCGAAATGGCGCGCCAGGCGGGTGTTCAGGGGACCACAAAAGAGATAGTTGGGTTTCCCGTGGAACCGAGAGAATGTGGTAGCCACGAAAGAACCCAAATGCAGCATGTGCTCCGGGTACCCCATCCACTACATGGCGTACAGTACCCGCTTCGGGATCTTGTGGGATCCGGTGACATTGGGGACGATGGATCGGATGATCAGCAGATTAAGAATATGCCACTGCGGCTTCAGGGTGCGAACAGATGTCTGGATAGCGTCGAAGTAGTCGTACCCATAGGCGCGCCTGGCTATCCGACGGTAGAACCCGTCCATGTTCCAGTCTGTCGGGTTCGGGACCTCGACCTCGTGGCGTGAGTATGGGTGGTACTCGATCCCCATGGCGTAGGCCACCCTGTCAATGGTCAGCTCTCGTGGGTGGCCACCCAGCCTGAACTTGACCGCGTAGGAGTCCTGGGCCGCCTTGGGGCGGTACTGGAACGTGGTGTAGAACTCCCACACCAGCTCGGTGTAGGTGGGCTCCTCAATCGTCAGCAACGTCCGCCAATCCCGGTGGCTGATGGCGGTGGAGAGCTCCTCTATGCAATGGAGCTGCTCGAAAACTGCCCACTCCAGATGGTGGTGGCGCTCCAGTTTCCCGTGGGTGACCTTGCGGAACTGGTCCGCGTAATCCGGGTGCAGGCGCAGGTCCTGCACAAACGGATGGTCGAGTGACATGTTCCTGGAAACTTAAGTAGAACTGTAGACGCGACGCAAAGAAATGGGTGAGGGACGCGAAAAGGGGGCAAAAAATGACCCGGGAGGCTCGCCGGAAAATGGTCGGAAAGTCACCGGAAGGTCGCCAGAAAGTGGCCGGCGACGGGGGGTGGCGGCGGGGGCGACGTTGTGTGGCGGCCGGCGGTCGCAAAAGGAGGAAAGAGGGTAGAGGTTTTGTGGGAGGAGGAGAGGGAAAATTTGGAAAAAATGAGGGTAGAGAGAGAAAACTGACCGGGGGTTTGCTTTAATAGCAAAAATCCCCGGTCGGGCCTCAAAAATACCAGGTCGGGTATTTCGAGTCCACGATCGGGGGTTTTGGAAACGACACGTTTCGAGGCAAGGAAATCCCCGTCCTTGAGCCAAAAATACCCGGTCGGGTATTTTAGGGTCAAGGTCGGGGGGTTCTGAAACACCGCATTCCAAGGCTGGGAAATCCCCGGCCTTGAGCCGAAAATACCCGGTCGGGTATTTTTGGGTCAAGGTCGGGGATTTGCCCTTTGGGCGCCCCGGAAGACGGAAGGGGTCCCGGTCACGAGCCAAAAATACCCGGTCGGGTATTTAGGCTCACGACCTGGTATGTTACCCTTCCGGTCAAAATTCTCATTCTCCCAAATTTTCAACCTCCCCTGCACAAAAACACCAAACCGAGACATAACCATGACCGAACTTCAACACAGATATGCAACTGACTCAACACGACACAAAAAACACAAAAAAAGGGAAAATGAAATGCAAACCGTGATGGGGTTGCCTCCCCACAAGCGCTTCTTTACCGTCTTTTAGCTGGACGCCCATGGTGGATACTCAGCAGGGTGCAGGGACAAATGCCTCCAAGAGCGGATCCACATCGCTCTTGAGGTACAGCTTCAGATGGTGGCCATGCACCCAACGGGTGCAACCACCAGCATTGGTTAGCTCGACTTGGCCATCCGACAAGATGTAGGCTAGTGAGTACTCGGATCGCCAGGGTGGTCGTGGTGCAGGAGGTGGGACCGCATCATATTGGTCGCCACCTTTCTTCCGAGCAGCCTCAGCCACCTGCGG